AAGGCATTGTTTGACCCTCTGCTTTTCATCTTAATAAGCTGCGTTTAAGAATGTAGGGTGGAAACAACTTTCCCCTGTGTTCCCTATTATATTCTTCTTCTGTTGGTTGCTTACATTTTGTACATGTTATATGTACATCGTAATTCATAAAAGGCATCAAGTTGGGTGTTGTTCTTTGCACATTATCAATGCCTGGCTACCTGCTGTCATTTCTAACTGCTCAACTCGAATAATCTAGGAAAATGTACGTTTTCAGAAATGCACAAATGCACCGTTAACAATAGTATGCCATTGATTGATGGCATGTTATGTGTAAAAGATCTACACTAGAAACATCTTCCCGTTGAAGTTTTCTGTTGCCATTTTAACTTAACGTCACCTATTGTATTTTTGCCTGGGTACCTGATGCCTCTTCTATGTTCTAACTACCAAACTGGCTGCAGGTGCTTTTAGTACTCCATTCTCACAGACCATGTTCGGTACGACAGGTCCTACTAAAAACAGTGAAACTTCATTCGTGACAAATACAGGTAAATTAGTTGAACACTGAGTGCTTGGCTTTGGCTACCTGCCACCAGTTCTAATAACTGCAAAACTCTTTTCAGGTGCTCCAACTTTCACAGGTCTGCCTAATTATCTCTGTTACTACCCATCAGTTGCAAATTCGGATTAAGTATTTTAAATTCGTTGAACACCTGCATTCGTTTTCAAACCTAGACAAATCTACATCTTTTAAGATTGATGATCCCTAGTATGGTTCATTGTTAGAGAACACCAAATAAACTAATGAAGGGGCTATAATCATCATTTTAACATTTCACAGGTGATTCAGTCTCACGGCCTGCTAAAATCCCTTGGATCATATCTTCCACAAATGCAGGTAAATGAACTGAACACTCTCAACCGTTTTCATACCATATAGAAAGTCCATCTGCGCATATTGATACCTGAAATTCTTAGTTGTCACCTGGCAGAGAAACTCCATCACCGATAGTAATATTCTGCCTGCCATGTTTTATAATTCAGCAGGTTGATATATATATCTGTTCTCGTCATACCTCTTGGTTTCTATGGCAAACTATTTCCCAAAACCGAGGAATTTCCCCCCTCTTGCATTTATCAGCTGCTTTCTTTTTTCTACTTGTTTTATACCCACAATAGTTGCAGGATTGCACTGGCATCTGGAAGCTGATAAGCATACACACCACAAATCATATAATACACCTAGTTGGTTACATGCACATGCTCATTTTTGTGGGCTTGTTGGGCAGGTGCTTTTAGCACTCCATCTTCGCAGATAATGCTTCATACGACAGGTTCAACTAAAAACATTGAGACTTCATCAGTGACAAGTGCAGGTAAATAGTTGAACACTGAGTCCTTGGCTTTGGCTACCTACTATCTGTTTTAACTGCAAAACTCCTTTCAGGTGCTCCAACTTTCACAGGTTTGCTTAATTATCTTCATTGGAACCCATCAGTTGCAAATTCAGGTTAAGTATTTTTTAAATTCGTTGAACAGCTGCATTCATTCATCATAGAGAACATAAGGAACTAATCAACGGGCTATATGCATAATATCTAACTGTCAAACTCTTCACAGGTGATTCAGTCTCACAGCCTGCTAAAATGAAAATCCCTTGGATCATATCTGCCACAAATGCAGGTAAATTAACTGAACACTCAACCGTTTTCGTAAGCATGAGCTACGTCTACACATATTGATACCTGAAATTGTTTGTCAGAGAAATTCCATTACCGATAATAGTGTTCTTCTACCCATATTGATTTCTCCTGTCCTCATACCACTTGGTTGCTTCGGCAAGCTATTTCGAAACTGTGGTGGATATCCTTTTCTGCCTCTTGCATTTGTTGGCTGCTTTCTTTCTTCTACCTGTTTTAGGCCTATAACAGTTGCATGATTTTACTTGCACGGTGGGTTGCCTGTACATGTTCATTTTTACGGTTATAGGTCTTCGCTAAGAACTCCAGGATCTCATTCAAAAATGTTAGTCTGAGTTTAGGCTCTTGATTTCCAATCTGCACTAGCCCTTCCCTCGCATTTTTAAATGTTTTGACTGTTAAGAGGACATTATACATAAAAGGTGAATAAATGAATGTTAATACTAATACTTATTTGGGTGATACTAAAGGGTGTTAATACTTGGCAGACCCAGTCGATCTAAGAGAGAGGCTGACAACTGCTGAGGAAGACGATCGCGATAAAAAAGGCAACGGACTAATAGATTGGTAATGCTTGGTATAACTGGCTTTCTGCTCAGTCACGCATTTCCTAAGAAGTACGTACAATATTAACTGGTGGAGTACTTGTTGGAATGCAGGAGCTAGCGTCTGAAACTGAAGCTGGTACTGGCGCCATGAACTTGATAGCCTGATTGAGTCGGGCCTTACTCGCTGTGCTCCTTCAAGTCGAATAGTTGCAATTGTGTTGGAGGATACCATTAAGGAGGTGTTTGGATTAGAGAGTGGTAACGTCAATGGTAAAGGAATTAGATCACGCTGGTATCGGGACGTAATGGATAAATCCTTGTTTTGTTTGGTTCATGCCTGTAAATGAATCTAGTTAGACTTCATGATTGTTGCGGCCGGTGGCTGAAAAAGGAGAGCAGACAAGGGAGAGGCCGGAGGATCAAGGACAGAAGGAGGGAGGACTAGCCGGCCATCGGAGACGGGAAGGCACATCTGATTGATTTCTGATTGTAAGACCGAGACTTGTGATCCATCGGCTCGATTGCAGTAGTTGAAGAAACAGAGGGAACCGAAAGCAACTCTCAAGTTCAGAGGGTGAGCAAATCAGAAATCTAATTTTGTTCATATATATATAAGTAATGAGCTGCAGAGTGAACATCTACTGCTGCACAATCTATTTTTTGTGAAAACACACAGTGCCTCGTCAAAATGAAACAGCGACAAGCAATTGAAACCATAGGCTTAACTTGTCATTAGCTTTGGAGTGCATGACTGACACAGGTTTAGTGCATTAACTTTGATAGCTGAATGCCTGAATGGCCCGGGAACCATTCAGGAGTTATCTACGAGTGCATCACTTACAGCCATATATAAAGCTACCACACACTGAAAAACAACACCTAAGATAATCGGATGAAGCAACAAAGCAAAATTTTAAGACCAGGTAACAGAGTTGGTTGTTCTTAGAAAGGATAATCATGTCGATGAGCACCGCGGATCCAGGCATAACCATGGCAATCATGCTGAGGGGGAGTTTTGGCTGCTGAGCATTAACCCTGCAGAGATTGCAAATTGAAAAACTCTGGTAAGCATCGTAATGTGCTGCAAATGTATAGTCATTGTATGAGTAAATTTGTTGCCGTTGGAAGATAAAACGTAATACATAGTAAAGGCAGAGAAAAAAAACAAAGTACTCCTCGAACATAATTTAACCTAGAAACTATCTTTATGACAGTGTAATTCAGATGGGACAACTAACTTTACATAAACTAGAAACTATCTTTTTGCTACGCACTGGATACAGATGCAAAATACAAGGGCATAGTCAGGAATTTTTTTGATAAAAACTGCATAAAAAGGGCAACTTAGGTAAGTAAGCTTGCATAAAAACATTCAAACTGTTTATCACCCACTACACCATTAAGCTCCTATTTGATACAGATATGAGGGTTTGCCCATACAAATTCACTGTTAAGCATATTTAGCTAATAACCGGGATGCGTATGCATCAGATAGTTGGCCTATCAATGCCACATTTGAACCACACTAGAGAGTTTGCACAACATGAAAAAGCTGACGACTTGACTTTAGTATGAAACTTTACAAGGATTAGTAGTTATGTCCTTGTTGCATCTACTCCCTCCGTTCCTAAATATTTGTCTTTCTAGTGATTTCGACAAGTGACTACATACGGAGCAAAATTAGTGAATCTACACTTTAAAATATGTCTATATACATCCGTATGTGGTAGTCATTTAAAATCTCTAAAAAAACAAATATTTAGGAACGGAGGGAGTACAAAGCATGCTAATTAGGCGTGTACAACATACTCACCAGAGCTAAGATAAACAGAGTTCCACGGAAGAATAAGCCTTGAAAATGTTGTATATGTTTGTGCATCCATCGTCACTTGATGAGGCCCCGCCATCTGACAGCTTCACAATCATTTTTTTGAGCCTTGGCGCACATTTGAGTATCAGTTTCAAGAAATCAATGTCATGATCGTCTCCTCCACAACCACTGATCTCCACTTCTTTGATTCGAGTCAAGGAGATAGTTTGGGATCTCCACCCCGTGGACTCACATGGACAATGAGGTGAGCATCCTTCTTTCACCTAAAACCAAATATAATATATATGTGAACTTCTTTTTTCGGGAAAAATATCGTATGTGATTTTTTGTGAGAAAAAACATTATATGTGATTAATACACAATGTATCATTAGAGTATGTAATCAGAGCAGAAAATTACCGATGATCTCTGTAGAATGACCTTAAGCTTCTGCATAGCACTACAAATTCTATTCATCCCTAGGACATGAAACACGAGCGCTCCAAACACATGTCCATTTGTTTCGAGATGTAGGTCCAAAACAGAAAACTCGGCAAACATATGCTTCTCTATCTCGTGCATAAATGTCTCCTCTTCACTGACAAAAATAGGATTCTGGAAAAACAATTTGGTACGATATGTATCATTCACACATTTAGTTTGGTCAGAGCTTGCTATAAGTTGAGTGGGAGAAGGACGTACGGCGCTGGCATGAATCTGCAGCGAAGGCAGCTGTCCTGGTCTCTCAGCCGTCTGCAGAGTCACCTGCTCGAGTCGCCAAACACCGAACACGATGGACAGCTCGAAGTAGCAGCATCTCCACGCGACCATCTCCACCATTGGTGCCAAGACCGAGATGCTGACCTTCTCCATTGCCGGAAAAGACACGGTCAATTGCCTAAGCGTGGGGGCAACGATGTTGACGCCATCCATCCAGTCGGTTTGAAGCAGGACAAGCTCCTGCAGCGACGCCGAGCTGACCGCAAGCGTGGCGCTCACAGCGAGGTCGTCGTTGTCGGAATAAACGTTACTCAGGCAGAGCGTGCGCAAGCGCGGGGAGCAGGAGAGCAAGGCGTCAATGTCGGCGGTGCATGCCCACAGGTGCAGCTCCTCGAGTGCGGGGAACTCGACGCCGGTTGGCACGCGGAGGATGACGTCGACGGGGTGAAGGTCCAGCAGGATGGAGGTGGCGCGGTGGAAGCAAGGCAGGTCGACGATGAGCGGACCGTCGAGTAAGTTCGTGGGGAGCTCAAACTCGAACTCCTCCGGCTCGAGCCGCGCGGCGGCGCGGAGCAACGAGTTGACGCTGGCAGCGTCGACCAGGCGCTCCTCGGGGATCGGCCATGGTAGCCGCTCGTTGGGGAAGCGGATTTTGATGAGGGAAACCAAGGGCAGGGGTCGAGGTAAGCGGTCGAGCACCGCTTCGAGCGAGTGGAGCGGGACGTCGCTGAAGACGATCTGGCGGAGGCGGGGCCAGAGGCTGCGCCACCGGCGGGAGAGGACCCCGGTGCGCGCGGCAGCGCTGACGCAGGGTAGGCCGGCGAGGACGAGGAGGAGGAGGTCGTCGGGGAGGTCACTGATGAGATCCGGTCCGCCGCCTTGGGCTAGCAGCCGGGGGGAACGCCGACGAGGTCCCCACCTTAGATGCATCGAAGCTCCGGAAAACCCCACCGTTCCCCTCCCACCAATTAGCTACTACCTGTCAAAAAAAAACAATATTAGCTACCAATGGAGGAAATGGACCATGAACATTGGTGTTAGGTACTATAGTTCTCTCTCTTTCGTTTACACACACCAGGTCTCGAATACGACTCGGAAAGAAGAAAGAAACACAAAGTAAAGCAGTCGTGCCGTTTCTGATCCAAGGATGGTTCACTCCTTCACCGCCCTGCTTTTTATAGCGTTAACCCATTTTGGGCCCACGAACCTGCTAGCTGGCTCGCGAATCCGAGTTGGACGTTCGATGACGCGCCCTTCCCCTTGATTGGTCAATGTGGCACCATCGGCTGCCATGACAACACTTTCCCTTGATGTCGTTGCATCTTCAATCGGTGTGGCTGCTTTCCAGCCGTGTCGTTTCTAATCCGGGGATGCTTTGCTCGTTCCACGCCTTGTGTTTTATGTCATTACCCCATTATGGGCCCACGAACTTGCGAGCTGGCTCGCAAATCTGAGTTGGACGTTCGATGACGCGCCCTTCCCCTTGATTGGTCCATGTGGCACCTTCGGTTGCCATGGCATCACTTTTCCTTGATGTCGTTGCATCTTCAGTTGGTGGCACTTGTTTTCAGCCGTGTCATTTCTGATCCAAGGATGCTTCACTCCTTCCATGCCTTGCTTATAATGGCATTATCCCATATTTGGCCCACGAACCTGCGAGCTGGTTGGCGAATCCGAGTTGGACGTTCGATGACGCGCTCTTCCCCTTTGATTGGTCCATGTGGCACCTTCGGCTGCCATGGCAGCAGTTTTCCTTATGTCGTTGCATCTTCAATTGGTGGCGCATGTTTCCAGCCGTGCCGTTTCTAATCCAAGGATGCTTTGAAAGCGCAGGTTAACTCCCATAGGGGGGGGGGGTGAATGGGAGATTTTTAGAAATTTGTCAAACTCTGAAGAATTTGACGAAGATTAGAGTGAAAGGGAAGCTAAGACATCACAGAATCAGAGTACATGCAATCAGGATATGTGAGAGTGAAGAACATGCAATCATATATTCATACACGCTTGAAGAAAATGAACTGAGGAAATGAAAGATAGCGTGATGAAACTCTTCATTTCAAATTCGTCAGAACACAGATCACAAATTCTTTAGCAGCGGAATAAAGTAAAGAGAGGGTTGAGGAATTTAAAACCAGGTTGGCTCGGTGAGGACAATGAAATTTGGTAGACCGGTTCCAGTTGCTGCATCAACTGTACGTCTGGGTGAGGCGGTTGATGTTGGGAATAAACATAACAGGTAAACAGTCAGAGTCTCGCGGGCTACACCCTATGGGTGCGCTGATCGCGCACCCACAGAACAAAATTTCTAGTAATCAGTTACTCGGTGCAGGACTAGCTCCAGATCACTCAAAAAATTGCTATAAGGTGAGTTTAACACTCCTCTATGGACCCGTTTCGAGCCTTCTTCTAGGACTTGAAGGGTGAAACTCATAAGTTTGGATCTAGAGCCGACTCGTATTGACGTTCCTCCAGGATAAGAATGGCATATCTCCGAGAGAGCGGTCCATTCATCAATCTGGTTGCCCAGATTTAATGACACTTCCATACTCGGATCATGAGTATACCTCTTCCGAGAGATGAACGATTGTCACCATGTTTCTCCTCGCGCCCACTTACCCCAGATCAGTCAGGAAGCGCATTGCCAGAATCCATTGAGATTTTGTTCAAACCTTGGTTGTTTGAAAGGACGATGATGGGTATCGAGTATTACCGTAATGACTCGGGCCAAATTGTGTCTTTCACAAACTCGTTCTGCAAAATCGCAATCGATTCGGGGGCTAATGTTGGGGATACACATAACAGGTAGGCCCACAAAGGGTAAAAATATCATAAAACATGGGGTCCACACATGAGGTGTGGGTCCAGATAAATCTCATTCAGACATACTATCCACTCGGACGTACCGATGTACCATCCACTCGGATGACATGCAACCACTCGGCAGTATGACTCACTCGGATATGCAAAGACTAACAGTCGTCAAGGCAGTCGAAGCATCATCCTAGTAGTATTATGACATTATGGCATCAATGCCCCACTTTGTAATATAAGAGATGAGGGGGGTGGTGTACTCTATATAACCCACCCCCACTATGTAGCTAGGATGGCCCTAGCTCTCATCTCTCTTCCCCTCACCAATAGTCTCAGGACTTAGCTCAGACATGGAGATCTGTTCTCCCCCCTCTCTCTCGAATACACAATGTAACTCGGTGTTCTTGACAGATAAAAGAAAGCCTCTCTGGAGCATGATACGTAGGGTTGTTATCTCCACCATGAGAGGCCTGAAGTCGCTAAAATCATTCGTGTCACCTGTTTGCATCTCGATAGATCATTCACCTTTACCCTACCCCTTACTATTTTCGAAAGTTCCCACGACAGCTGAGTCCCAACTCAGAGGACACACAGTCCTCACCGTATTCCTCTTGAACTAAGACATGCAGATCTCGTCCAATCAATCATGGTAAGTCTTCAAGGTAGACTTCCAAAACATTCACAAACTTATTCACCGGCACACCACAAAGACTCTTGGTGTACTCAGAACTTGACGTCTAACCATCTGGAAGAATAACTGTCTTCAAAGGTAACAGGCGTTGGATCACATAGATCAATCTTTTCAGTGATGCTCAATCACTTTGGCGCTGGGTTTTTCCTCTCTTAGGATTCTCCCAAAATCGTCAGAGGATGGGTTGCTCTCTTATGACAAGTGTCAAGTTCTCTCGGGCAGCGAACGAACAAGTGGTTGTAGGGGGAGGCTATTTATAGCCAGGGGCAACCCGACATGAATTGTCATAAATGTCCTTCTGTCATTCGACCGTTGTTAGGATAAGGATCCACTCGACAGCTGGCACGCGGCGCAACAACAGTCGAAATTTGAACTCTCAAATTCAGGGCACTCAATTTCCTCACTTTTAGGCAGAACACACTGGCAAACTCCTAACTCCCCGGCGTGACCAAATTCTTCAATGGCCAGATGAACTTCATCACTATCGCTAGCAAATGCAGCAGCTGTACTAGAGATTTCCAAATGCTTCACTCGAAGCGGTTTTTGTGTACAAGTTTGAATAGGTTTGAGCATCACTTTGGAAATGTGAAATATATCTCACCTAGACCCCCTTCGATAGTACGGTTTTTCCTACGACTCAAATAATAAGAAAAGAAACTATGAAAACAAAGTCTTCAAGCTTCAAAGTCTTCACACCAATTTCTTCAAAGGCCGTACCAATTTCATCACCAAATTCTTCACTTGAAGAAATCCATTTTTAGGGGTCGACTTTCATGTCTTAAACCAAATCTTTTGGAACTATATTACCTGTGTATACTCACAAATACATTAGTTCCTCAACCTATTTGTCTTCAATATTCCAAAACCACTAAGGGGATACTTGATGCACTTACAATATCCCCCATATTGGTGATTGATGAGAAATTGGTTAGGTGTCAATGGGAGTATAAATAATTGAAGTGCAAGTACAGAGTTTAAAGAAATTGGTTACAAGATATTGAGGAACTCCCATTGAAGATGTGTAAATGAGGAATTTTCTTTGGATTGCAAATGCACATGGCAGATTGGAATTGTGGAGATCTCCCCCTATATCTTGGAAACCAATCATGCATCACTACTGCAGGATGCTGCTAACGCGACACTACGATCAGAGACCCTTCGACGAAACTATGTGCGACGCAATAATCACAAACAGTGGTGTAAAACAAAAAGGTGCAAAAAGTTTGCGATGGTGGAGACATCAAACACGCTTTAGATTTTACTTGCGTGTGCGATGCTGGGCATACGGTTGATCCAGCAGAACTGTTTGCGATGAGGAAGAACAACAAAAACGGGCAGCCATATCAATGTGTGTGTGCGATATACGACATACAGTTCGTTCCGATGAACTGTGTGCTATTAGGGAATGCAACAGAAATGGCTAGCTAGATCAAGGTGCGTGTGATATACAGCATACGGTTCACTTGGACAAACTGTTTTCGATTAGGCAAGAGAATCGAAACGGTTGATCTTAACGAGATGTGTGTGATATGCAACATTTGCGATGAGCCAAAAGAACACAAACGATTCGTGTAAACCAGATGTGTGTGATACGCAGTAAACAGACCACTCGGATGAACTGTTTGCAATGAGAAATTATAACACAGATGATTACTATAGTAAGTTCGTGTGCGATTCTGTTCGTACAAATTTTTTTGAAAAATGCAAACTAGTTTCTTGTGGTGGCTAGGAGTATCGCACACGATGCGTCTGCGATTACTCGTGTGCGATGATTAGTAAGGTACACATAATGAACGGTCGCAAGGGTGATATGCTGATCATGGAGTTCGAGAAGACCCTGGTCGGAAGGCCGCCGGCTCAGCTTTTTAGCCTATATTTTATTATAATTGTATGCATAAGTAGGTCGTGAGTGTTTTGTGCCTTGCCGCATGTGGCATTTTAAATTATCCTGAATATGTAAGACAATTATTAACCGTTGCCATTGTAAATTTGCCTCAATGGCGAGCAGAGCGCACGCAGGGACGCCACGCGAGCAACCACGTGGTCAACCTTCTAGCACCCGGTGGGAGACGCGACGACGCATCCATAAGACACGATGGCGATATCATGACCGTGTTTGATAATGGGTAGACACATACACGTACATCCGAGAACAAGGGCCCACGTTTCGGGCTTCCGATGCGTGGCATATGGTTGATCCAAAAGAACGATTTGCGATGAGGCAGAACAACAAAAACGGGGCTTTTTAGGCCCAGAAGGCCAGAACCATCAATAAATTTTGACTTTATTTATCGTCACATTGTAGATTACAACGCAATAAGTAATTGCAAATCTGTTCACACCGACCAAACTAGTATGTGTTCACACTTAGCACCGGGCTATAAAAACTACCCACTCGAAAATTACTTTACAGTTCC